AATGTGTGACATATATATATATATATATATCCTCCTATGAAAATTATAATTGAATAACTTATAATCTGCTCACGTAGTTCGACATAAATTCTCCTAAGTTCATAGGACGAGATTATTCCACTATCAACAAGTGGGAAGGAAAGGAAAGAACGATCGAATTATGGTCACAACTCAACACAATCAAATCATTAATAATCTCTCATATAAAATAAGAGAGGAATAGAGTAAACAAGTTGAGAATATTTCAAATATAAGAAAGATAATATATTTAGATCTCCTTAAGATCATATAATTAGACCTTCCCAAATTAGGTTATTTAATATCAATCTTCCTAATATACACAGGTTCAAATGCACACACTATCTAATTTGAAACCATTTCATAACAAATACATCATCAAACATATCATATATCACATGTGGGCTAATATAATTACATTAACATTGATGACCAGTAGTTAAACTTCTACATGCTTAAAGCATTATTGATTAAATAATGAATGTTTCTATTCTTATAAACATGGATGGAAGCTACCTTTGATACCACTATCCTCCTCAAAACTACCATTGGCCATATATTGTTTTTATGTGTACATCTGAAATGTGGCTGAATAAATCTTCAAGGAGATTCAACAAATCATGCGAAGAAGGCAACAAATGATCAAGCCAATTAGCATCATTTCAGTTAGCCGAATCAAGGGCCACCAGAATGAACGTCCATCCAAACCGAAGAATGCCAGACACCTAGACCAAAAACAACTTAGCCAATGCAATGGCATTCACCAGTTCAAAGATCGCTTAACAAAACTATTACACGACCTTTTATGAAAATTTATCTTTCAAAGGAAGATTGTTTATCAGGTTACGGTGATGCACCATCTACTTGATGAAATAACCTTTCTTGAGGACAATGAGTCTTCATGACGAATCGCCTCGAAAAAGTCAATCGTGGATCTTTCAGTCGTAAGAATGACAATAGCTAACCGAGCAAAGGCCAAGCGACCAAATCGAGCACTTACGAATATGAAACGGTGCCAAGAGCAGTTACAAATATGGCAGCGGTTAACAAGATCAAAAGATTTCAAAGTCGGTTACAATATGTACAGGTAAAATCTAGTTTTTTTTTTTTTGCTCAATAGTTGAAAAAACTACTAATTTGATGATTTTGCCCACTTTAAGAAAAAATGTTAGTTCCAACCCTTGATATCTAAATACACAGTAATTGGGTGGTTGCATGTAAATGCCTCAAAATTTTTTGAATAGCCAAAATAAAATAAAATATTTAAAACGAGCTAAATAAAATATTCCCTTAATATAATCTGATTAAATCTGAGTAGCATTTTCTTAAAGAACAAAATACCTAGGCTTCCTCTTGATCACCTTATATATACTCTTTTCAGTCTCTCCCTCTCTCCCTCTCTCCCTCTCTCTCCCTCTCTCTCTCTCTCTCTCTCTCTCTGACCACTCAGTGCTGATTAGAAAATGAGGGTAAGAGTTTATAATATGCAGTGCATGTGTAATAATTTTGAAATATTTGCTAATTTCTGGGCTTTGAGAAATAGCATGCAGTTAATCTTCTGCTGAGCTCTGCAACTGTGTTCGGTTTTCAGATCTTGAATTGGGTTCAGACCAAGCTTAATAGAAGGCCAGAGAAAAAAACTTCTCAAAGTGTCTGCTTCTCTTCTCTCTGTAAGTCATCTTCTTAACTGAATTTCATGCAGAACTCTTAATTTGTTTCATTTAATTCCGATAAATATCAGTTAAATCAGTTAATTAAGAATTTTTGTTACATTAATGCTGTGATTAATGGCTTAATCATGGTTTCCAATGAGATGGAAAATTTTATTTATGCAAATTATGAAACTGCAGGTATTTACATATATCTAATAACTAAATTTTAAGTTTTTAAAATTTATACCGTCCAAATCTTTCATATGACATTAAAAATATCACCTTTTTGAGTTTAAGAAAGTGAAATATACTTTTATATGCATAAATAAGAAGTCATATATGTAAAAATTGAAATTTTGGTTTGGATTATACTTAAACAAGTGATAACTACAATTTTACAGATATATCCACCAAATAATGCAAAGGTTTATCCACTAATTATGCATCCGATGAACTTTTGTTCTTTATAATCCGAAATGTAACATCTTTGACAATTCGTCAAACTCTTAAAATCACTTGCAAGTCTTTACCTTTATGAATTTTTTTCCTTAAAAAGACTGCTTCAAAAAGGCTTTTTTACATTTTCGCTGCAAAAAAGATTGCATTTTTATATTACGATTTTAAGAAAGTTGCCTAAAAATGTAAATATCTCTGAAATACTGTGCATAAGTTCAAATTGATTTAAAAATTAAACAAATTTCTTGAAGGCAACAATTTTTCGGGAAAATCAAATAGACAATAAGGGAGCTCTTAGAGCTTCCGAAGGCTTCCAAAGTACAGTGATTAATTACTTGTGTGATAAATAAATAGTTTTTATAACACAGAATATTAGGGCAATAATTGACTAAAACAGTAAAAAGTGGGGGAGGTCGAGCCCACCTTCTAGAAAAATACTATTTTGGGAATAGATGGATATCAAAGTATACCACCACAAAATGATTGACTATGGATTGAACGGCTTAGGATACGCCCGTCAGCAATGTCCGTCTAATATAAGACACAAAACAGACTAGTTGTGGCGACAAATATCATGAAGGACAATGATCGAGTCCCAACGATCGAGGTTGAAATACCAAGGTTAAATGTTACGACTTAATGACCTAAACCTGAATGATAGAAACTGTACGACATGTCGTACAACCAGAGGACAAACAATCAAGTGCTTAAAGGAACCCAAGTCTTCAGGCCTTAACAGAACGACTGGACGTTGAATTCTCTCGAAGAACCTAATCATGATAGGGATAAATTCGTCAAAAGCCAATGATCCACACCTAATACCGTGGGGAATATAGGCCCGAAAATATCAGTATATAAAAGTCAACCACTATAAATAGAGGGAATTAAATATAATAGGGACCGGCTCCTCGTGCCATAAAAAATTATTATCCGATTCTTTTGATCTAAGATCTCTTTTCGTTCATACTCATTCAAATCCTCTACCGAATCTGCCTTTTTTTTCTGTTTTTTCATACACACTCTATTCCTCGAGTGTAATTTAAGGACGAATATGAGTTCAGCACAAGAAGACATGATCACTACACAACTGAGTTACACAAATAACATCTTATATCAGCTACTCATGCTCGCAATATTATCTTTGATATTTTTGACATTAAAATAATACAATATCCATCAACAAAAATTAATTTTTTGAAATTTAACTTATTTTTGCAGATCCCCCACAGCCGAAGATTCACACTGATGAATTCATGGGCTGGCCACACGGATTGCTTGCGATAGGCACATTAAACAGTATTTGTTCTATCAGAGAGGAAGAACAGACTCATCATCATCATCCCTTACCGAGCTCACAATCATCAAACGATGTATCAGACTTCACAGTAGAGGAAGCCATGAAACAACAGAAAGAACTCACCAAACTGCTGAAAAGCAAGCCAAAATCCTTCAATAATGGCTCTGCTACAGGGGAGGAGAATGCCAATCTTCTTCTGAACAGACTCTTAAATTGCCCATCAAACCTTCTCATCAGATTATCCGAAGACCTGGATGAAGATCTAGAACGCGATGATGGCGATCTCTCTCCTAATAGCAATATTATTCGGAAGAAAGTTAGAGACTTTTTGATTGCAGATAACAGGAGCATAGTTGGGCAGAAATCTGTTGCTTGTCTTCTGAAAAAGTTGTTTTTTTGTAAGGGTGGATTTGGTCCAGCTTCGGGCTTAAGAGATCCCATAATTGTTTCCAGAATGGAGAAGGTGGGAAGATTATTTGGAAAATATGTTTGATTTTTTACTTTTTGTATGTTGGATATATTTGTAATTTTGTTCTGTTTACTTTTGCATTTCTTTTTGCAGCTGTTAAGAATTATGGTTTACAAGAAAATATTTCCACAGAGTTCTGCAGCAGTTACTGTGAATAAATGCCTGGAAAATAACAAGTTGGGTGAGAGAGTGGCTTGCAAGGACAAGAGTGAAGAGAAGGATGGAAGAAGATTTAAATGGGATAAAACTGACTCAGATTGTAAGTTCTTACTTCAATTTTAAGGATGGATTTTAATTTTATATATATATATATATA